AATGAAATCCTTAGTGGACTTCATGGATCATATGGCCTGCCTCCCTTTTATGGAGGAATAACTCTGCTTGTGGTTTGTTTTGGTTGATTGGTTTGTCAGTGTGTTTTACAGGCTCTTTTATTGTGAGGGTGCTTGGGTAGCAGGGGATGTCAGTGTTGAATGTCAATCTTACTCTGGTGGAAAGGCTTTTTGAAGTTTCAAGTGTTTCCTAAAGTCAGGCAGACTCTAAAACAGTGGTTCTCAACCTGTTTATCATTGTGGGCCACAGCTGTGTGCTAATTGGGCCGCATGCGTCCCGCAGGCAGTGGGTTGAGAACTGCTGCTCTAAAAGTTTGTTCATAAGCTGGATCCCCTCAACCGAGAATGTTTTGTTACCAGCTCTCGTGCCGTTTGTCCTGGGCTTCATGTGCTGTGCTTTGGCCCACAAGAGCGCAAGTGTCTTTGCAATTCATAGATCAAAATTTGGTCTTTAATGTAGCTGGGTCTTGGTCCATGAATTGCTTTGAAGATTGGGACCAAGGCCTGAGACTGGCATCTGAAAGTGACTGGGAGCCAGTAGAGAGACTTGAGCATAGCCTGCTGTGCTTGTAGCAGCCTACACCCTGGAGAAAGTGGGCCGTCTTTCATCTCTTTCTTGCATGATACACGTTCAAGTTCTATACAACTGTAGATTTCCAAAGAGGTCCTATATAGCCCTGTAGCCAAGAGTTGTAAAACATAGAGAAATCATTCCATGAACCAGAAACTGCATCAGAATGTAGTCTCCATATTTCATGGGAAGAGGGTAAAAATTCATTTAAAGGATAGATACATTTGTAAGCTGAAAAACTAACTTGTTGTTTTCTTTTTTTGGTAAAATGATTGGTTGTTGAATTTCAAACTGTATTATAGCAAGGCTTATGGTTTCAATGGCTTTGTTCTCTCCTCTAGTTGATGAAGTGTATAGAAATTCTACAAAACAGAACATAACCATGCTTTTTGTTCTTTCTAGCTATTGTATACAGATCTCTCTGCTTAACGGGCTATTTATTTCTGTAATTAATACTTGCTTTCAGATGTAGGCGTACATATTTTGTATTAATGGAGATAGATCTAAAGAAATGGGAATATTTTGATCATGAGTAAATTAAATTTAAAAAAGTGAGTCTGCTGCTTATTTTTTAGTTGTGAATATATACAAATTGTCTTCATTTACAAAAGGAGCTGTCTAATTAAATGGCCTAAATTGCAGTTTCCAGTTAAGTGCTCCCAAATATCACCGTGTGGTTAAAATTAGTTTCTAGATTAACTGAGTTTTTTAAAGCTTCTAATAACTTTTGCAGGATGATCAAGAAGAAAAACAGTGTGATTATAGGTCATATCTAAGTAGGTGGGGAAGGGTGTGGGAAAAGGAAGAAAACCACTTCCTGTAGTTTACACGGCACTTAGTCGAAATGTCAGTGAAAGGATGTATTGGGGGATTTCCACACTGCATGAATGTATTTGTATTCATTTGCTTTAATGCACTTCCTGCCCTCCAGCTGGTGGCTTCTTGCCACCTGCAGACACTCAATTTTAGCATAATCCCTGGGTGAGTTTTAAAGAGTGAGAGTGATTGGTACCTGGTTGGGCACTATTGGGATGACTTTTTTGGTTCATGGTAATCAAAACTCTTTTCAAAGAGGGGATCGTTGAGCTAATTAACAGTAGATGGGGGGTTCCCTTGATAATAGACAAAGGACCAATGTCTCAGTTAGGATATAGCCTCTGTGTGCTGCTCAGGTTGTGCAAAAAGGCTGGAACCTGGCCACAGTTGGTGGGTGAGAATTTTCATGGTGGTGAGTTACTCTCAGTTGGCTTAAAATCACAGAACTGGCGCTTGTGCCCACTGCCCCACAGGTAGTCAAAGTGTGGGTCTGAATGCTTACTTTAACAAGCTTCTTGGACATTGGTTTTCATTGGTTCATTGCAAATTAGCGAAATGGTCTCTGATCATGGGAGTGTTCTTCCTAGGAAGTGATCTGAGAGAGCCAGTTAGCTGGAGTTACTTTTCTGATTCTCCAAAGCACATTGGACAGTAGCAGCTTCTCTAGTCTGATCTGGCAGTGTGGTAATGGAAGCATTTATGAAGTCCCGACAGTTATTAAAATGATGGTAGTTCAGTCTTCACCAAGACCTCCACCAGCCACAACTTCTTCATGGAAATGATGATAAATTCCTTACATGGTCACAACCCCTGGCGATTTTTCAGAAGTATTTTGTCCTTTCTTGGTTGGTCCACAAATGCACTTGGAATGTAGTATTTTGATAGGAATGTGGTGATCTGCACTGATTTGGCTGGACACAGCTGTTGCACCCACTTGTAAGGATCCAGGCCTCAGTGATAGACTGTCAATGATTATGAGAGTCTCTTTTGTTTTCTTCATACATGTAAGTCAGTGATAGATTCCTCCACTGCCCCTCCTCCAATCCTGGTATGTGGCTCTGTGGTCAGAGCATGTGCAATGGCATAGAAATAGCGCACAGTACATGCAAGTTCACACCAAGCACCACATAATTCAGAGCTTCAGGAAAACACCCAGTCATATTTATAAATGTACAGCAAGCATGACACAGTTCTCAGCAGCACCCAAATCTCCAAGTCCAGAGAACAGTTCAGCACAGAACACTACAGTGGCTAACTGTTAAAGTGCTCTTTCAAAGCTTCCCTCAGCTGTGCAGCTCCGTGTTAGGCTCTTGTAATCGCGCTTGTGTCTGGCTGTTGAAAGTCAGCAGACAACTGCTCCACCTCCAACCTGGCAGCAGCTTTTCCCCCTTTGCCTCACAGATATTATGCAGGACACAGCAAGCAGCTATAACCATGGGGATATGTTTCTCGCTGAGATCCAGTCTAGTGAGTAAGCACCAATAGTGTCCCTTCAGTCTACCAAAAGCACATTCACCAATCATTCTGCACCGGTTGAGCTGGTAGTTGAATCTTTCCTTGGTGCTGTTGAGGTGGCTGATGTATGGCTTCATGAGCCAGGGGAACAAGGGGTAGGCTGGGTCCCTCAGAATCACTATTGGCATTTCTATATTGTCGGTCGGGAAAGAATATTCCCGCTTGCAGCTTTCTGAACAGTCCTGTGTTCTTAAACATGTAAGTATCCATGCACCTTCCCTGAGCAGCCTACATTGATACTGGTGATGCATCCCTGGAAATTCACCAGCACTTGCATAACCATAGAAAAGTAGCCCTTTCTATTGATGCACGCTGTGGCAAGATGGCTGATGCCAAAATAGGGATATATGTGCTGTGTGTCGCCCCACCGCAGTTTGGAAACCTTATTGCTGCAAATCTATCTGCTGTGTCTTACACATTGCCAAGAGGCACAGTCCTGCATAGCAGGAGACCATTAATGGCTCTACATGCTTGTATGGCAGCGGCCCCCACTGGATTTTCCAGTTTCAAAATAATTTCCCACTGACGTGTAGCAATCTGGCATTGCTTCCACAGTGCGAGTATCACTTGTTTTTGCACAGTCAGTGCAGCTCTCATTCTGGTGTCCATGCACTGAGGGGCTGGGGCAAGCTTGGCACACAGAACCAGAAATGTGGCCTTTCACGTCTGAGAGTTCTGCAGCCACTGCCCATCTTCCCAAACCTGCATGATGATGCGATCCCACCACTCAGTGCTTGTTTCTCGGGCCCTGAAGTGGTTCTCCACCATCTGCAGCTGCTCCGTGAATGCCACCGACAACCTTGAATTGCTTTTTCCTGTGTTCCTCAGCAATCTGTCCTCAAAGAAATCCTCACGTCCCCAGTTGTTGCGGTATTTCCTGCAGGTCTGCAAATACAGATGAATCGCTTGTCCTGTATTTGAATGTTCATGAGAACAGTGCAAAGCTCTATGCTTCTGTCGGAGATGACAGAGACCAAAAAGTGCCATGTGGGTTTGTGTTTTTTTTTTTTTAAAAGGTGCAAAAATTATGGGATATGGATGGGATGATGAGATGGAGAAAATTGCATGCTGGGAACTTGACCCCTAGTTCCCAGAGGTCCTTAGGTAAGTCATTTGTATCCCATATTGCAAAAATTTCCAAAAGGCATTTTGCCAGACAGCTGCGCTTGGCACACTGGGGTTACCTGTGGCGCACATCCAAATATCCACACCTCCGAGCAATTATACACACTTCAGCAGCTGTATGCTGACGTAACCACAGTTTGCGTCAATCACAATTTGTAGCATAAACATGGCCTGCTTGGATGCTAGTAAAAGCAAAAAATTGAGAGTGAGGTTCTCCCAGGCCACTTTCATCATAGTGTGCCCGTCGCAAGATGTTTAAGTATGGTGGGATTTTCATACTCCTTTGAGTTTAAAGTTATTTAGTTCTATCTTCTGCTTTTTAGGGCCTTATATTTACTTTGTAGAAACTGAACCACTAACAAATACAAACCTCCAGTTATCCCATGATGTATTTATAAATAACTTCTTTTCTCTTTCTTTTCGCGATGCTTGTTGCCAGCCATTACAAAGTATTGTAGAATTTGTGGGCTTGAGTCCAGACTTAGCTATAGAAAAGCAAGAGTACTAGGAAAAAAATAAAAACCCACTACTTACATTCTGCCAGTTATATACTTACAGCTTTTTATAGTACTAGACTTTTGTGCAAACATTTTAGCATATTTTTCTTCCTGTTGTCTCATCTACTCACCAAATGCTGACTTGAAATCAGTCCCCCTTAGTGTTAGTTTGTTACTCTTTGTTTCTGTTATGATTGGCTGTTGCCCTTGCTAATTTTGTGTGGAAGTAAGTTGTCTGTCAAACTTACATGCTTTTGCTAAATCTGTTGCCAAGCTTATCACACAGCAAAACTATGTCACAACTAGGAAGCACAGATGCAGCTCTCTAATAATAAGGGAATGGGATACAATTAGGAGTACAAATGCAATTATTTGATAAAATACCACTTTGAAATGGTGTAAGTCTTCATAAAACTGTAAGTGCATACATTTATAAATACTACTGTGTTTATTTTTAGATGTGACCTTAACTCTGATTTGAAGATATGCAAAACCACACTGTCTCACAGGAGGAAAATAGCCCTCAGTGAGTATGCTCAGTATGAAATAAAAATGTATCACCAAGTGGAATTTAAAATTGTTTAATTTGTAACTTAGATGAATAATCAAGGGTCTGTAAGGTTTCTGAAAATGGTCATATTTGGTATTTTAAATAGGAGTTCTTCAGCTTGAAAACTAAGATAATTTGTCTTCTTTCAATTTTGACTATTGATCCCTTTTAAGGGCACCAACAGTTGCAGAGATTTTGGCTGGAGAAGTGGCAGTCTCCCTTACTTACCCAAGCTGCTTCTTGACCTACTGTCATAAGAACATACTTTTATTTTGTGGATAAATAATATTTGTATGATTTGTTCTTTTATGGCACAGTGCCCCGATCCCTCCATATATCTCTTCTGACAATGTTACATTCCATTAGAACACTGAAGTTAATAGAGTTAGTCACCGGTAAGAGATCGTTTTATATACAGAAGCAGTCAGCTAAAATCTAATACTCAAAGGAAAACAAATTAGGGGGAGTCTGAGGATTTGGAAGCTGCCGGAGAGTTATGACAGATCCCCTACTTGAGCAAATCTTGTGAAATTAAATACTTTTCTGGGAGGACTGCCTCTTTACTAACCATTATATGAATTAGAAGAACTGGAAAACTATCTCCTTCAATTGCTGACTGACATGCTATGCTAAGAGTATAGTTAGTTATGATGCATGCTAACACTTTTGGGGATGAAGTATGTAAGTCTCTCATCTTTTGGTTTTCCTATTTAATCAGTTTTCCTTTTTTCACTTTGAATTGATTTACATCACTCCATTGATTTATAGGCACTTTCGGTTGATGCATAAATTCTTGTGTGCAAGGAATACTATTCATTCTGAATTGAATTATAGGGTGGCCCATCTGCTGGTTTTGGGAGCAGATAGTCAACAATCCCTTCTCTCCACTCACTCCAAAGTGAGTTTCCTGTTTTAAAATCTAGTTACTTCTGTGCTCACAAATATTGGCCTTATTATTTGTCTCATAACCCTGTAAGGAAAAAAAATTGCTCTGATGTTCAGAGTGGTTGAAAGGTTTCATGATAGAGCTAAGTGTTATAGAGGCATTAGAAGCAAGAATGATGCATGTGTGGTCACAGTCACTACATTTCCATTTGTTGTATTTTTCTTCTTGTTCTTCTTAGATGGAAAGAGTTGCCACAACAACTTATGAATAGATACAAAAGTTTCATAACTGAAGTGTTAATGTAGCTGAGGGAGGAAGGAAACCTTCAAATTAATCATCCTAATCAAATTTAGCATGCCTTAAGTCATACTTTTCTCTCCTTTCCTGTACTGGCCCACATCTCTTTCTTTCTGGCACCATTTGCGGAAGAAAATCATAGCTTCCTTGTATTTATCTTGTCTAATGTGCACTGTGAATGTTGGCATTATTTTTATATATTATTGGACTATTTTATATCATGTTGCAAGGAGTTCAACAGCTTAATTGTGCATGAAAATCTTTCCTCTTCCATTTTAAAATTGTCTGCAGTTGGAATGTGAGTTGCTATGAAAATGTAATGATTATTAATATTGGTAATAACTTGCCTGATGGTAATGAGGTTTATTAATAATTAATCTTACAAACAGGGTACAATGCTGCAATGTAAAATATCCCTGATCTGTCATATTTTTAGGTTATACCTTTTTTAGTGGTGGTGGATTCTAATATGGAAGAGTTTGTTGACTGCTAACCACAGCATTTCTTGTCTTCTATTTATATTCTGCGGGCCATTCTCCCTCTGACCTTATCTATTGTCCTATTTCTACAGAAAGAGGCCCCATCTGACAAATTTACTCTCAATACCCTGGGGTTATGAGAACCACCAAACAGCATTAAAGATATACAGTAATCACTTAACACAGCAGCTGCTCTCTTCCCTTTGTCTAATAGGTATCTCTCAACCCTTATCTCTGACAGAAAAGCCTTTTTTGCAAGTTGTACTGTATTTAGACCGTTTTCATTAAAAGTCCTACAGAAGCATGAATCATGTGAATTGTTATCTTGCATTTTATCAGCATTTAGCTTTCTAAGCTTACTTAAGGTAATTTTAAATCTGTAGATTTGCCACTGTTACAGTGAGTTGACAATGGTCATTTTAATTTTGTTTTAGTTATGCTTAGCATGGTGATATTGGAGGAGTAGCGACTGGAGACAATCTGCTGCACTCTGATACTTCGGCAAGACAAATCACTAACATCTAGCAGCAAGAAAAGGCGTGTTCTTCATGACAAAATGACAGCAAGAGAACACAGCCCCCGCCATGGTGCAAAATCCCGCACTGTGCAACGGGCCTCCACTATTGACATTGCCTCTGACATGCTAGGTCTGTCTCTGGCAGGTAAACACTTTTGCATCACCTGGTGCCCACTTGTTCCTTTCAAACATACTTACATTATTATTTTTTTCAAAATATTTTTGTTGTTTTTTGGAAGTTTTAAACGTTCTTGTTTATCCTCAGTGCATGCGATGGAGGGATTATCCTGAAATTCAAATACCAATAGGCTACCTTTTAAAAACTAATTTTGCCCTATTTTCTAGGCAAGGAACTTGAAGTGGTGATGGGGAGGAAAAGGCTCGATTAGGTTAGATCTTCCATGATCATTGGACAAGCCAAAGGAAAACAGAGCTTCAGAACAAGGGTCAGAGATGGAGAGGATGGGAGGAAGAGAGGAAGTGTGCATACGTCTGTGAGAACTGTCTGGGTAACCCCCACTTTAGGCATTGGGTAAAATCCTCAACAGCATCTAAGTGACTTAAGGCCTGGATGACACTTGAATGTGATCCCAATATAACTATGTTGGTTAGGGATCTAATATTTTTTAACTGATATGATTATATTGGTACAAGCCCTAGTGTGGATGCAGTTAACAATTATAAAGGTGCCTTATAGTGGTATAGCTGATTCCTGTTTCTGTGAGGGGATAGTTATACTGGTATAAGCACATTCATACCTGTGTAACTGCTTCCACCCTAGGGGAGTTATACCATTTTAACTGTGTCTGTATCTTTAAAATGGTTCCACTTTCTAGTATAGACAAGGCTTAATTGCACTGATTTAGGTGCCTTTCAATGAGATTTAGGACTCTAAGTATTTGTTGCTTTTGAAAATGGGACTTAGGCTCCTAAGTCATGTAGGCACTTAAAAAATCCCATAACCATTGCCTTAAATTTTTTTAATCCAATGGCTTTGTAGGTCTTGAAGATGAAACATGTAAATATTTTTAAGTAGTTTTTCAAGATTCATTGAATTAAAAAGAAGTCACATAAAACGTTCTATAGATTTAACTTCTTCCCTAAAATGTTTCCCCTCTCTAATTGTAACTTCAATTCAAGAATTGCATGAGAACAATGGAGAGTTAATCTTTTACTAATTTTTCTGCTCTACAGGAAACATCCAGGATCCAGATGAGCCAATTTTAGAGTTCAGCTTAGGTCGGTAGTTTTTATGACTCTTTAAAACCATTTCTGGTTTTCATGGGATTTGCTGTTGAATATTTTTTTTACCATTGTTGATATGGAAAGGGGTACCATATAAACAAGTGTTGAGAGGGATATGCACTTGCATTTGTATGGAGCTTTCCCTCCTTTCTGTAAAAGGGTCTTGACAGATAGCATGGTAGGCTGTAGTGAACCAACTATGCTATACTTCTGAAAGTCTATAGATTAAAACTTCTTCTGTACTTTTAGATTTAATGAGTTTGAGATTGAGATTGTCGCTTCAGTCTCAATTTGTTTGCACTATGAATCTTTAAGAAAATTGCACACCTGCATAAATGGATGAGGAATATTTTAGGATAGAATGTTTTCCAGTGGTTATCCACTGCCAATTATACATCCTTTCCCATAGTCACTTGGTTAATATGGGTCCCAGAAGTGTCCTGATTTCTAACATGGTTAAAAATGTGGCTGGTTGAATGACTTTAGGCAAGTCATTTTGACCTCTTTGTGCATCAGTTAACCTGGCTGGAAACTAGAAGAAACGCAGCTTCCCAATGAAAATTCAAAAGTTCCATTTGTGGAGCACATTCCTGGCTGAGTAACTAATTTACAAAAGTTTGAAAGCTTTATGATCTGACAGTGGTCTTTAAATGAAAATTGGAAACCAGTAATAGGTATGTTTAATACTGGATCTGAATCCTGCATTGTCATTAAACAGAATTTGAATTACTTATTTTTTTTATGGTTTCAGCTACTGTCTGACAGATGAGCAAAGAAAATAAAAAAGTATTCAGCACTGCAATACAGTAACTCCTCACTTAACACTGTAGTTTTGTTCCTGAAAAATGCGACTTTAAGTGAAATGATGTTAAGCGAATCCAATTTCCCCATAAGAATGAATGTAAATGGGTGGGGGTTAGGTTCCAGGGACATTGTTGTTTTTTTTTTTGCCATATAGTACAGTACAGTACTATAGTTGGGAGGTGCCCCCGCTTTACACCACACAGGCACAACCCACTGGCACTGGAGATGAGGCAGGCAAGGAGACTGAAGGTGCTGTAGGCTAGGAGAAGCACGTTGTGCAGCAGCAGTGGCAGCTTCCCCTACTCTGCAAGCAGCAGGGGCAGGGGGCTCAACCCTCGGCCCGCCCACACCACCCCTACCCCCAAGCCTCCACCCTTAACCCACCTCTTCTTCCTCCCCCTCCCGATTCCCCTTTACTCCGCATGCTGGGTCCTCGCTCCTCCTCTCTCCCTCCCCTGCCTCCTGCCCACAGCAATCAGCTGGCTTGCGGTGCTCAGGAGGGAGGGGGGAGGAGCGAGGACACGGCATGCAGGCTCCTCCTCCCTTCCCTGCCTCCTGAACACCGTAAGCCAGCTGATTGCCGCAGGCGGGAGGAGGGGGAAGGCGCTGATCCATGGGGTCTGCGGGTGGGCAGGAGGCACTGGGGTGTGTGTGCATAGGGAAGCTGATAGGGGGCTGCCAGCTGTGGATAAAGCAGGCAGCAAAATGATGTTATAGTGAAGTATTGCACAACTTTAAATGGAGCATGATCTGTAATTGAGCAGGGACGTAAGATCGAAACAACATTAAGCGAGAGGATGTTAAGTGGGGAGTTACTGTACTATTTAGGTTACATCAAGAGTTTGCCTAGCACAAACAAATTTTAGAGTTAATGCTATACATCTAGTCCACCAAGCTTCAGTCATAACTTGGACCATAGTGAGGGAAGATCTAGGTATAATGATACATGCAGTGTTTTTGTAGCTGTGTTGGTCCCAAGATATTAGAGAGACAAGGTGAGTGAGATAATATCTCTTCGTGGACCAGCTTCTGTTGGTGAGAGAGACAAGCTTTCAAGCTTACACAGGATCTGAAGAAGAGCACTGTGTGAGCTCAAAAGCTTGTCTCTCTCACCAACAGAAGCTGGTCCACGAAGAGATATTACCTCATCACCTTGTGTCTCTAGGCATAACGATGGCATTCCAACTGGAGATAACATGGATTTTCAGCCGTAATACCAAAGTTCTGTTTAGCTCTATGTATGGAAGGCAATCACATACAATTTTTTTGGAAGGAGATTCCTCTTCCATGTCCCCCTCTACAGTAGTTAAAATAATGAAAGGACAATAATTTTTTTAGCGGAAATAAAGTGCCCTCTTGTTTTGATGGACCATCTACTTCTGTTTACAATGCAGACACGTGGTTGGTATTCAAGCACTCCCAATGATATCCTTGAGAAGATACTATTGAGCAAAGAGTTCAGCAGACTGCAGGCTTATTTCATGCACACCATGCCCATGAGCTTTCCACTGGAGAAATACCCCCTTGCGCTATTATGAACAGTTGTCCCTCAGGGGAAGGGCAGGGAAGGGTGATGTTTGCACCACCAACCTCCCACAATGGTTCTTCTGGGAGAGAGTAATTTTAAATTGCAGCTGGGACCCCACAGTATGTTCCAGTTTTGTGCATGTTATATCGTTTTTGTGTGTAAAAATACCCACATTTGCATATGCATAGTGGGTAATTGCAAATCTGACTACGTGATCTCTGTGTGCAATTGTTGTTTGCATGCACAAACGTGAGTATTCTACCTATGCACAAAATAGAAGCATACTGAAAATTTGGCCCTTCATCGCTTGCCCACTCTTTGTATTATACATGTTTATGAGAACTGTAGAATTTTGGACAATGTCAGAAAGACCATGCCTCTAAAAATTATATTCTTAAACCTCTAAAGTTTGCAGTGAGTTGCTCACACCATCGCTAGATCGAAAACCAAATACTTTTGTCGCAGTAAGTGTCACTACACCTCCTCAGGCATTCTGGACAAAGCATGCACAGACAGAGATCATTGAGGTAAGTAGTGGTGTATTATTGCTCTTGATTTAAGGTTGAAGCTAGTATAAGGAACATTTTTTTTTCAACATATATCACACTGCATTAATATTATCTCTTTTTTGTTTATGATCGTAGGGAACAAATAATCCTATCTTTCTAAGCAGTATTGCCTTTTTTCAAGACTCTCTTATCAATCAAATGACACAAATCAAACTTTCTGTGTACGACGTCAAAGATAGATCTCAGGGAACAGTAAGTGCACTTGCATATTCCTTCATAATCCTTCTGTCATTTCTGTTGCTCTAAATTAAACCAAAGCTCTGGATTTTCACCTCATGTACGATGAAACCTGTTCTTACATTAGGGCCCCCTGCAAAGCTCTTAATTTGGTGTGTCCTACACATTTAAAGGCTAAAATATGTCCTACACATTTAAAGTGAAAGGTGCCAACTTTGTGTTCTATTCCTTTATGGTACTCTGTTCTAAATTAGAATGATACAATCTCTCTTGGCCTCAAATTAGAGTTGTGTGAAATTAAAAAAAAAAAAAAAGTGTTTTGAGGGTTTTTATGTGAAAATGTTTGCAGTTTGGCTGTGCGTAATTCCACAAACCCCAAATTTTGCTTCATAGTAATTTTTTTCTTTACAATTGTTCATTGAAAACAAGTGAAAAACCTAAGAATCTGATGCAAAGCCATTTTCCCTCAAAAATTGGGCCCTATCTTAGCAAAATTTTTCTAAAAAATGAGCCCACTTTCAAGTTCTTGATGAAAACCGGGGGAGGGGGGAACTCCATGATTTTTGAGTAGTTTTTAATTTCAGTATGAATGTTGTGCACCCTCTGTTTCAAAAACACTTAGCACTGCCACTTTATCATTGCTTAGCAGCATATGGATTTCCACCACATCAAAATCCCTGCAACCTTCTGACACCTCTGTCTTGCTTTTAAAAAATTCCTGAATTGAAAAATAGAAGGTTGTTTCTGAAGCAAAAATGCCAGAAGATGCATTCAGGAAAGCAACCATGCAATCTGCTTTCTGACATATGGATACTCTGCATCAGCCCTTGAATTTATATGCCTGAGGCATTAGACTCATTCTCTGTTCTAACCAGGGCCGGCTCCAGGGTTTTTGCTGCCCCAAGCGGCAAGGGGGGAAGCCGCGATCGGCGGCAGCTCCACCACGCTGCTTTCTTCTTCAGCGGCAATTCGGCGGCAGATCCTTCCCTCCGAGAGGGACCGAGGGACCCCCTGCCGGATTGCGGCCGAAAAGCCCGACATGCCGCCCCTTCCCCTTGGCCGCCCCAAGCACCTGCTTGCTGAGCTGGTGCCTGGAGCCGGCCCTGGTTCTAACGTCACCTCAGTAAAGGACAGTCTGAAGTGAATGTTATGATTGATACTCACCCTCTGACATGTGTATTACCCACCAACAAACCAAAGTCCAAGAAAAACTAATAACTTTGACCCAGCTCATCCTCTTCTGGAGAAAAATGAGCAAGAGAAAGTTCTGGAGAAGGGAATCACTGAAATTCTCCCCACCCCCGGCGTTGCCCCGTTGAGAGGGTGGGGTTTGCGTCCCCACAGAAAAACCCATAGATTCAGACGTCTCCTTCACTCTACAGGTGGCCAAAGTGAGAGGCCCTGACCAATTCAGGGCCCCCTCAGGAGCGCTGGAAACTGTAGAAATTGGGGGCCACTGGCACCAGACCTGTGACCCGCCCCCTGCTCTTCTTCTCCCCCCAGAGTTCCTGCCCACTGGGTAGGCCAAAAGCCAGAGCCACGTCATGGTAAGAGCCGCCCAAGGAACCTCCGCTGCTGTGGGACGCCCCGGACCCTTCAACTGCCCTGGGCGGAGGGCCAGGGTGCCCGAGAGCAGCCCCCAGCCCATGTCTCTGCACCACTGGGCACACTGCCCGGGGCAGATGGGGGCTCTGGGGCTCCCCACAGTGGCCTAGGATCCCTGGGAAGCTGACCAGGTGCTGACTGGGCCGCTAAAAGTCCAGTTGGCGGTGCAGCAGGGCTATGGCAGGCTCCCTGCCTCCTGGAAGTGACCGCCATGTCCCTGCAGCTCCTAGGCACAGGGGTGGCCAGGGAGGCCGGGAACCATGGCCAAAGGGAGCTGCGGGGGTGGCACCTGCAGGCACGGGCAGTGTGCAGAGCCCCTGGCCCCTCTGCCTAGGAGCTAGACGTGTCGCCGCTTCCGGGAGCTGCCTGAGGTCAGTGCCACCCAGCTGGAGCCCGCACCCCAACCCCCTGACCCAGCCCTGAGCCCCCTCCTGCACCCAAACTACTTCCCAGAGTCTGCACCCCGATCCCTCTTCTGCACCTCAACCCCCAGCCCCGGGTTGGAACCCCCTCCTGCATCTTAACTCCTTCCCAGAGCCCACACCCCGTACCCCCTCCCACACCCCAGGCCCCTGCCCCAGGTCGGAACCCCTTCCTGCACCTCAAACCCCTCACCCCCGGCCCCACCCCAGAGCCCTCACCCCTTCCCGCACTCCAACACCCTGCCCCAGCCCAGAGCCCCCTCCTGCACCCTGAACCCCTCATTTCTGGCTCCACCCCAGAGACCGCACCCCCAGCCAGAGCCCATACCCCCTCCTGCACCCCAGCCCCTTGCCCCAGCCTGGAGCCCCCTCCCACACCCCAAACACCTTATTCTGGCCCCACCCCAGAGCCCTCACCCTTTCCCACACCCCAGTTCCCTCCCCCAGCTCGGTGAAAGTGAGTGAGGGTGGGGTAGAGTGAGCCACAGAGGGAGGGGGAGTGGAGTGAGCGGGGGTAGGGGCTCGGAGAAGGGGCAAGGCAGAAGCGGGGCAAGGGTGTTCGGTTTTCCTCAATTAAAAAGTTGGCAACCCTAGCCTCGTGGCAAGGGGGTATTAAGGCCCATCTGAGCCCCCCCCCTCCCCCCCACTGGGAAGGTGATCAGCTCCCACGCCGGGAAATGCAGCCCCTGCTGCCGCTGCTCTGCACCTACCTGAAGCTACTATGCCTATGTTAAAAAGTGGGCGGGGCATGGCCCCCTGGTCCTCACTGTTCTGGTGCCCCGAGTCCCTGTGGTGTAGGGGACCCAAATGTTTTTTGTGACCAGGGCCTCACTAAATCTTAATCTGTCTCTGTCTGCACTGGCTCTGGCCCCATTTCTTGTTCTCCCATGACTCCTTGGCACTGTGGCTCCATCAGGGTCTCCCATGACTCCCCCCATCTGTGGCTGTCTCAGAATCTCAGTGGGGAGGCTGTGCAGAATAGATGACACAGTCTGAGGTTGTAGAGTCTTTGGGAGTCAATAGGAGGATGATACGTTTCCCTGGTCATTCTGAGTCCTACCCAATCCTCTCTTTTGCCCATAAGCCTTTAGGGTGGAGGGCACAATCAGGACCTTCATTATTCTTGCCTAGAAGGAAATACTGAGCTTGTTCTCGGACCCATTAATATAGAGAGTGAAGGTCACCCCCATTGCTCTTCCATGCAAGACTGCACCATTTCCATGCCCTTTGGATTGGCTTGTATGTGTTGGGAGAGTCCTTTCCCTCAAGCCCAGCGAAAGCAAAGGTCTTATTTTCCTCAAGGGAAAAATCCCCAAGGTAGTGGGGGTTTTTGTTTGTTTGTTTTGTGCTTTCTGGGCCTGGTTGGGTAGTTTATTTATATTTGTTGTTCGTAATAGTATTTTGTTCTTAAATATTTATTTATAATTGTACTGTTTAATCATTGTTCACGACTTGCGCTTATGGACAGGTGCTTTATGAATTGAAATTTCTACACTAATGTTCCTCTTTTCAGATGTATTTATTGGGTTCTGGAATGTTCACTGTAAAGGAATTACTTCAGGAGAAGAACCATAGATTGCATTTAACACTAAGGTTTGTAATGCAGTTTCAGTCCATCAGAAACTAACATTCCTAACACTGTGATTAGTAGGGCCGGGAGCATGTTGTGAAAATTGTTTTTGATTTTTAATTTAAAATAAGTGTTCAAAGTTCAAGGGCTCTACTAATGAAAATCAGTTATTGGGTGATGTTTAAAACATGTAGAACATAGGAACCTTTTCAAATATTGGGATAGACTTTTGGTGGCAAAGCATGCAGGGAACAAGGAATGAGAACGCTGTAATTGTTTGTTGGGAGTTGTCTTTAATTCTGCAAGTTGAAAGTGTACCCACAAGTACAATTTCTTTTCTCTTTGTGTATTTCATCAAATTGCCTTGGCATGAAGGGTGTGTGTGTACAGCACACAGTACACACACACTAGCAAAACTGGCTACTCTTAACTATACTGATATATAAGGCGTGTGAGAGTGAGTGAAACAGACAGAGGAGACCCTGGAAAACCAGAAGCTTTTCTTATTTACATTGGATATCTTAGCTACTGAGCTCTCTGTAAGCTTGAAAGTGTGTCTTTCTCACCAACACAAATTGGTCCAATAAAAGATATTACCTCACCCACCATGTCTCTCTACTTATCTATGTAAGGTGTTTATATGGTCTCCATTTCTGTATTATCTGAGCATCTCACAGACTTTAGTGTGTTTGTCCTTACAACACTCTAGCTATAGGAAGAACCAGTCTCAAAACAGAGCAGATATCTTTAATATTATTTAAAAAATAATTTACTGGGTGGATTAATGTTGAAAAGCTTCAGGGGAGGAGAGTGTCTTGTGGGGATGGTAGCTTGGTGCCAAAGAACAGGGATACAGTCCCACCCTTAGGGGTCAGCTTGGAGGTATGAAATCAAGTGTGGGAGAAGTTAGGAAGCTTGTGCAGAGTGAGGGGAGCAGGAAGAGATTAGGAGGAACTGAGCTCAAAGGTGTAACTGTGGGTGGCAATGCTAGAGAGGCATTGGTGAGAATCTTGAACGTGATGTGAAAGGTGAAGGGAAATCAGTGAAGGGATTTTTGTAGGGGATTAGCATGGTCAGAGAGACTGGAGAGGAAGATGATTGCAGCAACAGCGTATTGAATTCCCTGAAGGAATCGGTGGGAGAAGCATAGAGGAGGTTGTATTAGTGAAGGTAAGAGATGACCAAGGCATGGACAAGGCTTTTGATGGTAGGGACAAAAGGGGGAGGACTGATTTCCCCCCCCCCCCTCCCCGATATGTTATAAAGGAAAAATTGACTGGATTTGGCAACCCAGAGGATGTGCTGGGGCGGGTAGTAATGAGCGGAGTCAGAAAAGAGACAGACTGTAACAAAATAGGCTATTTATCCACAGCTATGGAGAAGAGATGGTTTGGGGCAGGGGAAGCTGGTGGCAGACTTTCTAGCGTTCTACGTGGCCTGTATCACGAGTAATCAATCGATTAGGTGTTCTTCTCTCATTATTGAGTAGGAAATGAAACTATTATAAAATATTTTTTGATATCAAGTGCAGTATGATTGATTGGGAGGGGGTGGGTGGGTGTGAAACTCTCTTCCCCTTATCACATTACTCTTCAAAAATGTAACTAGAATGCAGAGCAACATCTGCTCAATCTTTTCCTTTTCAAAACTTGATTCCACATGTGCTGTGCTGTATGTGTGTCTAGATCTGTCCTTGCAGTCTCTTGTTGCTTTTTTCATTTACTTTCCAGCACTGTTTGTAACAGCTATTTGTTTGAATCACCATTACACATTGTTAAATGCAAACAATAACTTTAAAATATCATTAAGAATCTAAAACTGACAAAATGAAGACTATTCCTTGTTAAGGATGCTGCTGTCCCCTTAACTCTCTCCCATTTAGCACCACATATGATACAATATATAAGATCATATACAGCTAGCAGACCAATCTTTACAGAATGAGATGAATGTCTTCCTATTGGTGTCATTTAATATCTGGCATGTAAAATCGGTTTACTTGTATCTCCATGTTATAAGCTTCCTAATTTTAAATGTTCATTAAATTCACAGATCAGTATATTGTGTATAGTAGTAATTGGTCTCCTATTGACAAACAGATCCCTCTCTAAAAAAATAACTTGTTTGTTGCAGGTCTGCTGAAAGTGATCGTGTAGGTAACATCACAGTTATAGGATGGCAAATGGAAGAAAAAACGGACCAAAAGCCTCCTGTAACAAGGTCTCCTGACACCATTAATGGGAGGGTGAGTGTGAACATTATATCAGCCTCAGATAGATACAGGATTACTGAAGACAATGTTATAGATAATGTTATAGTCTGCAAATTGCCTCCCCCTCTACCCAATCACTTACTAATTCTACTTAGCACTTATAGTCCTTTATATTTTCAATGTACTGTACAAATATTAGCTGGTTAATCTGTAACAAACAGTTCAGTGTTAAAGTACTTGGGGCACAGCCTGTGATATACAGTTTTTTGTAATGCTGAGAGTTCTTGAAGATGGTGGGATGGAAACTTGTCTGTGGTAATAGACAGGGCTCTTATTCTATCTGCCCTTAATTACACTGGCTTCTATTGCTGCATGCCCTTAAAAAAACCCCAACAACACAAAAACCACTACCTACTACTGTGCATGATGCATGTCTATGGGAAGTAGCTGATTTCAAAAGAAATTCACTGATGTCCATTTGTGAATCTGAAGGCAGTACCAAGCAAATGTTTAAACTAGATTATTAGAAACTATCCGTGAAAATGGAAGTTCAAGAAGGACAGCTTGTGAAGTAGAAATACGATCAGATAGTTTAAAAGAACACACCACACTATATCTGAAATCTGGATCTTTTCTGATAGTAACAAGCAGTGTTCTCTAGAGCAAGTATTTATAATTGCCTGCCTGCTTAGAGAACAAGTTTCGTGCCGCAGACTCTGTATTGTGAATACATCTGAAGTCATATAGTCTGTATTACCTGTATTATGTTCAGTATGTGGATTATCATCATTATTTATTGGGCCAGGTCCTCAGCTGGGCAGTAAATTGATGTAGACTATAGAGCTATGCTAATTTACAGCAGCTCAGGATCTGGCCCATAATTTTTACAGCACTCAGAAGTGTGCTAGGTGCTTTGCAGTACAAATAAAAAGTAGGTCCCTTATCTGAAGATCTGGTCATTAGATGTTTTTAGTATTTCAGTTTGCAGTCAGGATAGTGATTGTCCCTGATAAACATGTTTGGAATATGTATTTTAAACATTCCCTGTTTTGAATATTACCTTCATGGCTTTATGTTGAGTCTCACCAGTTTAGCTTGACTTGGTGTTGAGGTTTTACATTGTACAGACTTTACTATTTGTGTCTTTTAGACTGTACTGCCAGTTGATGAAAGTTTAACAGAATCTTTAGGAATCAGATCCAAATATGCTTCGTTACGGAAAGATGTGTTACTAAAATCCGGTAAGCAGCTAACTGGGCAGATATTGATAGCGCACCTACTATCAGATTAATATCTTTGCTCTGTGTGTATTGACAGTTCTTACTATACTTAGCATGTTTACAATATCAGTGACAGCTAATCTCTTGTTGCCTCCATCATAGCCCCAGTTCAGCAAAGCACTCAAGCATGTGTTTGAAGTTGAATAGGGATTGGTTGCTGAATTGAGACCCATAAGAATAATTTATTTTGCCATCTGCACTACAGCACTTTGTAGTACAAACAATACTTTATGAAGTAAAATATCTTACAGGTTGTTTACCATTACATTCATCTACCATGGCCAGTCCTTTCTTCTCCTATAGACTTATGTATTAGGAGAAAAAATTCAATATGTGAAGAATTTTAAAAAAATGAATTGTTCCTTTTTTCCTTTAAAATATTTTGAATACCTTTGGATTTGGGGTTTTTTCTTTGACAGTGAGTAGAAAGCTCCCTCCTATAAAAATCGCATTTGGAAAAGTTAGATAGGTGAATGACTTAAATTGGATTTTTACAAGCAGCCAATATTGAATCTAGTCAATGTAGCTTAATGTAATGGGTGAGGGGAGACTTTGTAAATGCTGAACTCAAACCACACATTTACATAAAGTGGTTTTAATATTTTAGTGTTTGGTGGTGCCATTTGTCGGATGTATCGTTTCCCCACAACTGATGGGAACCACCTGAGAATCTTGGAGCAGATGGCTGAGAGTGTACTGTCACTGCACATCCCCAGACAGTTTGTGAAGCTTCTTCTTGAAGAAGATGCAGCCCGGTAAGGGTGAACAAATTTTCATGTGTTATAATACAGCAGTGATGTGCATCCTTTGCTGAGCTGGCAGAGAACAAATTGTTACAACAAAGAGACTGCAGCAGAAATAGTGACTGCAGCAACTTGGTCGCTGCCCTCTTATTGTTAACAAAGTCAATACCTTCATGTCACCGCTAGATTGGCCATGAACTGTATCTTGCACAGGCCTGATGCTCCTCTCACTTTGGAGTGTCTTACACTGCTTTAACTCGGTTGGGCCAGATTCTCAGCAGGTGTAAATCAGCAGAGCTCTGTGGCAGTCAAATGGAGCTGTGACATTTTACAACAGGTCAGGGGCTGACTCATTGACTTAAACCCTTGATTTACACCTGTGTCTATGTAGAGGAAGGTCTAGCCCACAGAATAACTTAGTGTGGTCAGGATAAATGTAAAGTGATAACAGAAGTGGTATTGTGGAGATTGCGTTATTCAGATGATGTGCAGTTCTATAAAAAGCATCTTTAAATACTGAGGTAAATTTTTAATGATAAGTGTTAGTAACTAGCTTTAGTATTTTGGTGCAGCAAGAATTATTTAGTCCAATTGAAAAGTAAAAGGCTGCACAATATGATGGGTCTGTGGGTGTTCCTAAGTCATACGTGCCAGCTAGGACAGCTGTACCTGAGGCACTTGGATACTGCAATGACGAGTGGGATATGAATACCTAGATAGAGGGAGGGCTTGTTATCTCCTACTCGGGGGGGGTTCCCGGGAGGCCTCTGCCCGTGGAGGCTACCCAACTGTTGCACTGTATAGTGCATCCTCCAGGTATCTGGCCACGAGTCTTTAGGTGCACAAGGAGTGTGGGTGGGGCCCGTAAGTAGTTACTATGTTGTTGGCAGCTAGCATTCTTTGTGCCCTGTAACAGGAGACGTTAATAGCTATCTCTTTTTATAACGGTTGAGGATATTAAAATTTCACAGAGTAGTATGAAAAGAGTAAAGGGATGCATCTATCCTGGCTGATGTTCTGTCTGCCACAGGCTAAATGACATTAGTAAGAATGTTGCTGGCTAAGGGTATGTCTACACTGCAGTTAGACACCTGCAGCTGGCCTGTGCTCACTGACACGGGCCTTGTGGGTTTTGGGCTAAGGGGCTGTTTAATTGCAGTGTAGATGTTCAGGCTCAGGCTGGAACCCAGACTCTTGGACTCTGCTCAGTGGCCTTTAGATCAGTGGTTCTTAACCAGGGGTCCAAGGCCCCCATCAGGGAGGCTGCCAGGTAGGGCCGGCATTAGACTTGCTGGGGCCCAGGGCAGAAAGCCAGAGCCCAACCTCATGAGGCTGAAGTCCAGGGCCCTGAGCCCCACCACCCAGGGCTGAAGCCAAAGCCTGAGCAATGCAGCTTCGCGGGAGCCCCTGTGGCATGGGGCACCAGGCAATTGCTCTGCTTGCTACCCCCCTAATGCCAGCCCTGGCTTTCATATGCAGAAAACCATTTGTGGCACTGGTGGGCCATGGAGTTTTTATAGCATGTTGGTGGGGCCTCAGAAAGAAAAAGGTTGAGAACCCCTGCTTTAGACCCTTTAGATGGACATGGTAAAGAACCTAAATGGTAACCCTAAATGTAACAGCAGAGAATTAGAATGAACAGGACAAGCTACTCCTTGATATTAGACTTTAGTCAGTGGAATTCACTCAAGCATTAGGTAGAAAATCTCACCACTCAAGGGTACTTTCTGTAAATGAAGTTCTATGAATGTTCTGACCAATTCTGGTTTCATAACAAATACCAGTAATACAAGCTTTTAAATACTGAACTGTATTGCTTAGAGGTGAAAACGACTTTCTGTAATTTAGAAAAATGGGCCCCTAGATGAAAGGCATTGGGATATCTTTACTCTCCATTAAGGTATGCAGAATATCAGATGGAAGTTCTTTCTTATTTTCATCCAGTATCTTCTACATTGTTAATTAATAAACAATTCTCTTTAAGATGAATTTTTGTCTGAATTTTTTTGCAGAATTAAAACCTACAGTGATGCATATTTTTATTGTATATTTTATTTTCTGTATTATAATCTGGGTTGAAAACTTTAATAGTATGTACTCCCAGGATATGTTAGATCTACCCAGGTATTCCTCTCTACTCTCTCTGTACTGAAACCTTGAGAAATACTATGCAGCTTTAGGTGGCACGCCAGTATAATCACTCCTGTCTACCATTAAGATGACAGCTTAAAATGCACTTGGGTGATCTTGATTTCTGCTCGGGGAGAGGGCCTTGATCCCTGGAGTGCCCCCTGGTGGACTGGTGCAACATTACCATTATGTCTCTGCCTCGGTTTCTGCTAGTGGGATTTCAATAAGTCCAGTGAGGCTTATGTGTGTTGAGCAGTGCCTCTGTGGGGATCTAATTTATTTAACACAAAGGAGAACATTATACAGATAGGCCTCCACTCCAGCATCACTAGCAGGAGGGAGAGAAGGCTGAGTTAACTTTGGTCCATCAACCTCACTTATGTCCACACCCCTTACCAGCGAAGGCCCGCTTGACCTGGAACCCTCTTCTGGAGTCAGGGCTCTTGTCATTATCTGGGAAAGGGTCTCTCCTCTTGGGTTAAAGTGCCCACAGAAGTTAAACCATGATCTTCCTCAGAACAGCATGTCACTGCTCTGATCTGTGGCTTCTGCTGATGAAGTCCTTCCATGGGGGCCAGGTTCTGCTGACACTTTGCATTCGTAGCTTCTCCCTTTCAGAGCCTCTCCTACCTAAGAGCATTCTTCCTTAGTTTCTTTTCCTAATGATCGCCCTCACCAGGTTTCCCCCCAACAAGCCCTTTCCTTGGGAGCCTTCTCTTTCTGTAATCTGGGGACTGTTCCTTTCCCCAGGAGCCTGTTTTCTAGCCTCCCTCCCCACTGGGAGTAGCTTCCTTTTATCATGCCTGGGTGTTTCCCTGCATAATTAACTGCCTCCCACTTACTCAGTGAGTTAAGTCTTCCCAGGTGAACCTGAGTGGCCTCATTCTCCCTTATGGAGCCTGTCAGAGGTGGACTGAACCCATGACCCTAGACTCAAACAGCTAAATTGTTCCAAATCGACGGGCCCAGATAATCTCCATCCAATAATGTTAACAGAACTAGCATGTGAAATTGAAAGTCCAAGAGCAAAGACTATTAATGAATCCATAAATTGCGGAGTCATAGCCTATGACTGGAGAATTGCAAATATACTACCTATATTTAAGAAAGAGGAAAAAAGTGATCTAGGAAACTACAGGCCCGTTTAGTTTGACCTCCATTGTATGTAATTGTATCATATATCTTTAATATTAAGATATATAAAATGAGTTTAGTGGGTTACTAGTGAGGCCTAGCATAGGTTTAAGGCTTTTGATTGATACTGAGCAATAATTTTTTTGCTGGCATTTTTAGTTTTTACACCTGAATTTGACTTGCTATAGACCAGACTTTCTGTAGGCTTTTTGGGGAGTATTTGTAAGAGAGAGTAGCTAAGGACATAGGGGTAAACAGAAATTGGAATAAAATATAACATGGTTTTATAAAAGGTAGATCGTGCTAGGCCTGGTCTCTTTCTTTGAGAAGATAACTGATGAGACAAAGGAAATGCAATAGATTTAATCTACCTGGATTTCAGTAAAGTATTTGATACAGTTCCACAAGAGAAATTGTTGGTTAATTTGGAGATGATGGGGATTAATACAGGAATCGAAAGATGGGTAAGGAACTGGTTAAAGGGGAGACTTCAATGGGTCATGCTGAAAGGTGAGCTGCCAGGCTGGAGGGAGGTTACTAGTGGAGTATCTCAAGGATCGGTCATGGGAGCCAATTTTATTTAATATTTTCATTAATGACCTTATCACAAAGAGTGGGAGTAACAAAAATTGTGGATGATGCAAAGTTGGGAGGTATTGCCAATACAGAGGAGGACCAGTATATCACACAAAAAGATTTGGACGATCTTGAAAAATTTAATAATGCAAAGTGCAAGGTCATGCACTTAGGGACTAACAACAAGAGTTTTTGCTATAAATTGGGGTTGTATCAGTTGGAAGCAACAGAGGTGGAGAAAGACCTGAATGTATTGGTTGATCACAGAATGTCTATGAGATGCCAACGTGATGCAGTCATGGAAAAGGCTATTGGAATCCTAGGATGCATGAGCTAGATTATTACACTAGAGATGGGGGAAATATTATCACCATTATACAAGGCATTGGTGAGATCTCATCTGGAATACTGTGTGCAGTTCTGGTCTCCCATGTTTAAGAAAGATGAATTCAAACTGGAACAGGTGCAGAGAGGGGCTACTAGGATGATCAGAGGACTAAAGAACCTACCTTACGGGAGGAGACTTAAAGAGCTTGGCTTGTTTAGCCTAACAAAATGAAGGAGGAGGGGAGATATGATTGCTCTCTATAAATACATCAGAAACGTAAACATCATGGAGGGAGAGGAATTATTTAAGATAAGGGCTAATGTTGGCACAAGAACAAATGGATATAAACTGGCCAGCAATAAGTTTAGGTTTGAAATTAGATGGTTTCTAACCAGAAGATTAGCGAAGTTCTGGAACAGCTTTCCAACAGGAGTAGATGATGTAAAAAACATAACTTGTTTTAAGACTGAGTTTGAAAAGTTTGATGGAGAGGATGGTATGATGAGATTGCCTACAATGGCAATGGCCTATCCATGACTGCTATTAGCAAATATCTTCAATGGCCGGAGATGGGACTCAAGAGTGGGAGGGCTCTGAGTTATCACAGAGAATCCTTTCCCAGGTGTCTGGCTGGTGTCTCACCCACATGTTCAGGGTTTAACTGATTGCCATATTTGGGGTCAGGAAGGAATTGTTCACCAGGTCAGAGTGGCAGAGACCCTAGGGTTTTTTGTTTTTGTTTTTGCCTTCCTCTGCAGCATGGGGCACAGGTCACTTGCGGGTTTGAACTAGAGTAAATGGTGGATTTGAGGACTTAATTAACTCATCCACAGGTTATGAGCCTACTGCAGTACCAGGGCCGGCTCCAGGCACCAGCGCAGGAAGCAGGTGCTTGGGGCGGCCAATGGAAAGGGGCAGCACGTCCAGGTCTTCGGTGGCGGGTCCCTCAGTCTCTCTTGGAAGGAAGGACCATCCGCCGAATTGCCGTCGAAGAATGAAGCGGCGCGGTAGAGCTGCCGCCAAAGTGCCGCCAATCGCGGCTTTATCTCTTCCCCCCCCCCCACCCTCCACCCCGCCGCTTGGGACGGCAAAAAAGCTGGAGCCAGCCCTGTGCAGTACTGGGTGGGTGAAGTTCTGTGGCCTGCAATGTGCAGGAGGTCAAATTAGGTGACCATGACGTTCCCTTCTGTCCTTAAAGTCTATGTGTGTCTGAGGCCCCTTCAGAGGGCCAGCTGCCTGCTGATGGTGCCACTCATGTAAAGTTCTTCTGCACAAGAGCTCTGTGTGAAGAGTAACAGGATGCATATCAGGGGGATATGTCTACCTAACATTTATACTACACTCCATGGTATGTCCATGTCGGCATGGTACATCTAACTAAAGGATGTGATGGATTCCACCTCACTTGAAGTCTTTAAACCATGGGCTTGCTGCAGGAATCAGTGAATGAAATTATATGGCCTGTTATGCAGAAGGATGTGACTAGATGATCATGACGGTTCCTTCTGGCCTCAAAATCTATGAATCATTGGTAGATACTACACCTCTACCCCGATATAATGCTGTCCTCGGGAGCCAAAAAATCTTACCGCGTTATAGGTGAAACCGTGTTATATCAAACTTGCTTTGATCCGCCAGAGTGCGCAGCCCCGCCCCGCCGGAGCACTGCTTTACCGCGTTATATCTGAATTTGTGTTATATCGGGTTGCGTTATATTGGGGTAGAGGTGTATATGTTGCCTGTTGGGAGTCAACACAGTGGATTACTGTGGGATGGACAAACTTGCTTAATTTTGATAATGTGCTAAAATACTATATAATTAATAGAGAATTATTCTTTCAATTCCACAAATGGACTCTCAAGTTATACACAGATAATTGATAAAAATTATGGATCAGGGATCTTGAGAGAGCAAACAAAAGGAGCTGCTAGATTTGATTCCTTTGCCTGCTATTCCAAATTTGTGTTTAAGATGACTAGAGCCCTGCGCAGATACAAAAATCTCGGTCCGCATCTGCAAGAATCAACTGGTATCCAACCCTTGATGTGCACTCTGTCCTTTATCTGTATCTGCATCTGCACCACACCTGCAGGAGGAGAGTGTGTGTGTGTGTGTGTGTGTGTGTACTATATATAGGATCTCAATGGCGGGGAAGCAGCTGTCTGCAGCTCATAGCCTATGAGGCTGCTTCCCCACCTTCAAGAGTTTATATTCCCTCTCCAACCCCCGCATACAGATAAAGGGGAGGTGATCCCTGCAGACAGTTGCTTCTCTGTATGGAGAGGGAAGAGAAAATATAGGATTTGGAAGGCAGGGAAGCAGCCTAATAGGCTATGAGCTGCTCCCCATCACAGTGCACTGGTGGATTCAGGGCATAGACATGGTCCCACCTCCTTCTCCACTTATCCTTATTCCTAGGGGGAGCAGAAGCAAGCAGTTCCCGTTCTTCCCAGAGCACAGAGACTGTGCAGCCACATGAAGAGGGGAGACTTCTTGCTCACCCCCGGTTGGCCACATAGGGGCCCACTTGGGATCTATCCCTTATTGAAAACTCTGGATAAATGGAGGGAAAGAAAGTAGGCTCCTTAATTTTGCCCAATCTGGTGTATTGGGAGGTACGTTTTGAAACATTCCCTTGTACCTGAAACTCTTCTCACGGAATTCAGAATGCGTTGCCTGAGGAGTCTGTTGTGTGACATCACTTGCATTTTTTTCTTCTTGCTCAGGTGTACAACTGAGTTGAAAACATTTTTCTTTCTTCTTGTAGGGTTTGTGAACTAGAAGAGCTGGGAGAGCTGTCTCCCTGTTGGGAGAGCCTTCGTCGACAAATAGTTACTCAGTACCAAACAATTATACTGACTTATCAGGAAAACCTAACTGACTTGCATCAATACAAAGGTCAGCAAGATTTATTTTCAGTAATAATAGATAATATGTTTCAGTTATGCTTATTTTCCTTTTAAAATAAAGATTCAGAACCAAAAAGGTGGTTTTAGTCTTCGTTTGGTAGGAAAAATCAACAGACAAAATATTTTTACTCTCTTCTAAAGTTTTATAGTGATTATACAAAGAAGCTAATTTATAAATATCATAGTCCTTGTGCAACTTAACATACAAAAGCGGGGATAATGAGTGAGGTCTGGAAAAGAAAAAGTAATCTGCAATTTCCTTAAAAATGAATTAAATTAAATTGTTCTTGTTATTTTATTATTAATTTTATCACCTGATAAATTCTCTTCTGTGGGTTTCCATTAGCATTGCTTTCCTCTAAATTTCATGTAATTAATGATAAGTAATATATATGCTTAATGATAAGTAATAAAATATATTACTTCTGGGGGAATTCTGTGCCTCTATGCGCACGCAGAATCATGTCCCCCACAGATTTCTTTGCTTCCCTGCAGAAAAATGACTTCTGACGGGGAAGCAAAGGGAAGCCACAAGAGAGGTCTTGCCTCCCTCCCCAGCAGTATGGGCACATTGTTTCAGGCTCCCGGAGCAGCTGGTGGGGAGATAAATCACTGCGAGGGGGCGGGGGGCCTGGGAATGCCCTGGCTGGTGGCTCCTACCATGCACTGGGCACAGCTGCTAGTGCCAGCTGGACTGGGGGCAGGGGAGGACGGGACTTACTCTTCTCCTGCAGGGAGTGGCCAGGGCCGGGGCAAGGTCAGAACCAGCCCCAGAAATCTCTCCCGGCTGCAGGAAGCTCCACCCACCTCACCCCCTGCACTTGAACCCTCACCCCAAGGAGCCCCATCTGAACCACCTTGATGAGCCCCCTACACCCGGACCACCACTCCACTGAGCCCCAACCAGCTGCACCCAGATCCCCACCCCACCGAGCCCCACTGCCCCAGCACCCAGACCCCCCTGCTGAGCCCCCACCACCTTCACCTGGACTCCCTGCAGAGTCCCATTGCCCCTGCACCCAGACCCCCCCCCAACAAGCCCCTGTGCATCCAGATCCCACACACACCCAGAGTGGCCACTGAGCCACCTACACCCAGATTGCCTCACACAGAACCCTCTTATGCACACCTGGATCCCCACACACTAAGACCCTCCACACTTGGATTCTGCCAGGCTGAGCCTGCCTGCCCACACCTGATGTACCTGGTGCAGAGATGCAGGGCCCCAGGCTATTTCTGGGGCAGGCCCAGCCCTTGCACTGTGTCAGTGTCGGGGGCAGCCTCACTGCCGAGTCTGTGTCCTGGGCAGTAGAGGAGGGCTGCAGGGTGATTTCCCACCTCTGTGCAGCCAGTGGCCTGGAGCCTGTACATTTTTTTGTTCATAAATAAAATGTGCAAAATTTTAAAATATTGTGTGTAGAATTTGTATTTTTTGGCACAGAATTTTTAATGTTTTGGCCCCGAGTTCCCTCAGGAGTAATATATAGCTATATATAAACTGACAATACAAAGTCTGGTGTGCTGATTCAGCTTAATAATAATAATAATTAATAATAAACAGGAACTAACTTTCTGTAGGTAAAGAACTGTCTTCAGAAATCCCCAATACATTCTGATTCTTTATATTAATAATAATTTTAGAATTTTTAATATAATCTTATACATATAATATAATATAATATTATTATATGATCTAGGTTTTAGCTTTTATTCCAAGAATCCCCAAATCTTTGTTTGATAGTTTCTCAGTGTTTTTTCCTCCTATACTTAGCTCTCTCTAAAGTATTATGGGAATTATTTGATTTCTGTGTTTTGTCATTTTTAAGGAATGTGTATGTGTTTGTGTGTGTAATTATTTCAAAATCTTAATAAAACTAAATGGGAAATAAGGCAGTTTATAACCGACTGAGTTATGCACAAATGGGGGAATGATGCAACTTTATTTACCCTAATATTAGTCCAGCTTTTCATTCAGAATGGGGGAAATAATTGGGTGTATTTTGTTCACTCTTATACTTTTCTTACTATTATGTATTCATGTCAGGCCATATTATACCCTTGTTCTACATCCATAACTCCTGTTGACAGCCGTGGAGAAGGCTGGGGGTTCATTCATAGTTCAAGGGTGCTGTTTTAACATACAGTGTCTTCACTCATAATGAAATTCCCCTCTGTACAGAGGGCCAGCATAAAGGTCTAGGCATCACATAAGTCCTATTTTGATGGGTTAAGAGGGACTTGCTGTAAGTGGTATGTAGGCTTTGTGCTGGCCTCCCTGCACAGGGGAAGAATTTCTCCCTGAAAGCACAGAACACCTGTGACCAACGGGAGGAAGGATGATTTTCATGTGATACGCCAGTTCAAAAGACACTGACCAGTCAATGAGAATAAAGCCAAATCCCAGGAAAGTAGAACAGAAAGTTTCAGTGTACACAATGTGTAAAGTTGCAGCATGCATCCCACCTCAGATTGTTAGAAAGGCAGGCATGTGTAGGTGACAGTATATTACAATATTAATTATTGAGCACAGAACTGGTATTGGTCTGTGCATAATGGATCATTGGGATCCACAGAGCAATTATCCGTGGTAGACATTAAATTCACCTGTAGCTTTGACACTGTTGCATATTTACCATTTTTGTCTAAGGCCTTGATCCAGCAAAGCACGTAAGCACATGATAAATGTTCTAGTGAAGTCAGTGGGACTTTTCCCATGCTTAAAGTCAAGTATGTGCTTAGGTGCTTTGCTGGATTGATTCCAGGGATCCACAACAGTAAGAGAAAATAATAATAATACTAAAATATAAACTTATTTTGCTAGTCATTTAGACACCAATTCTGCAAGGGACTTAAGCATGTGTTTAAAGCTTCCTGAATTGGGCCTAAGTGCCTATCTAACTCCAGCTCATTCTTCTTAGATTTGGACTCCACCAGATCCAGTGGCTAGGGATGATATTTATTACTAATAAATAAAGTAATCCAGTAATTGTATAGGGACCTGGAATACCTCAACTGTAAACATCCTCCAGTTTAGTTGTATTTTCCCATACTATACAATGTATAAATTACTCAAAATTGGAGTGGAAGTGAGTATAGGGATCCTAACAAATGAATTCTCATAGGCTGGTGAGATGGAGTGCACTAGAAGAATTGCTTGTCTGCTTAGTGCTGTCATAAATGTTCTTCTGGTAGGGATTGATTTCTTCACCCCCTGCAATCAGAAGATTTTTAGTATTTCTTTTAAAAGAATACGTTCTCCAGGTTCTTGCACTGTTTTCTTGTACGCTCTTCCAGCACTTGTGTACACCATGTGCCATCAAAATACAATGAAAATAATGTATTTGACTATGCATTGGTTTGTGTTTTAATAGGCATTTCCCCCCAGTATTACGGATTCTTCTCATACCAGAGGGTTGGTCACAGGGTTTTGAAAGTGGATTTTAAATTAAGCCTATGTTGCCCCTTCACTTTTGTGATCATACAGTTTGGCCCCACCTGGCCAATGAGTGCCAGAGACTCCAAGCGGGGAGGAGCCTACCTGGTGCCCTCAGTGGGTATCTCCCTTCCTCTCTGCTGGGGCTGGGCCCCTTTTGCTGCTGGCACCATCCAGTTCCCCCAGCTGTTTAGGCAGGTGATTGGCACTCGTTGCTAACAGCATGTGCTTTGCAGATATACTTGCCGACTAGCAGACTTTTAGTTGTAAGTCATACTTTCTGTCAGTATTACTTCCCACCTAATGTGCAACAAGTGTTGAAAGTAACCCCAATCCACATTTGTTGGTATTTTGAGACTGGCAGTTGGTCGTGGTTTTATAGGGCAGATATAGAATAAATATTTTTCTGTTACATTTCTCAGGCCCTTCGTTTAAAGCAAGTAGCTTGAAAGCTGATAAAAAATTGGAATTCGTGCCCACAAATTTACACATACAAAGAATGAGAGTCCAGGATGATGCAGGATCAGGTACATCTCTCTCGTGTGTGTGTGTGTGTGTGTGTGTGTGTGTGTGTGTGTGTGTGTGTATATATATATATATATATATATATATACACATTATTCTCTTTTTTGGGTTTCCACCATCCAGAGCTAAGTTTCCCCCAAACCAGTGTAGCTTCTGTGCAGTACTAATAATATTTAACATTTTAATTGCAGCTACCATCCTTATATCTCAAAGCACTTTACTAAAGTAGAGTAAGTATCATTACCCCGGTTTTATAGATGACAAAACCAAAGGGCAGATCAGCTTGTCCAAGGTCATGTAGCATAACAGCATCAGAGCTAGGGAACAGAACCCAAGTCTCCCACCTTCCATCCCTGTGCTGTATCTACTGGATTAATCTGCTGGATCCCCTTTGGTTTTAGGAGCCACCAGGATCTTTTCTGGTTGGCATGACATCAGAGGCCCTCCCTGTTGTTGCTTTTTTTTAGTTTAATTTAATTGTGAGGGGCCATCATGTGCGCTGCACTTTAGATGTGTAAAAAGACATTAACTTGTTTAGGTTGAACTTGCTTCTTTGTAAAAGACCTAATTTTCTCCTTTCATTTAATGTTCAGCCCCATCCACCTGTCGACCCTAGCTGCCTTGTGTATCCTTCAGATAGGGGGGATGATAGGCTGAGGTATCAAGGTTAATCTTCCTTCATCTCCAGACATGGAAATATTGTCTTTGTAGGTCTTCCAGAACAAGAAACAGGGGTCCAGGTTTCAAACAGGGGTCTTTTACTTTGTAGCACTTGGCAGCTTCTCACCACTAATGCAGTTCCAAACTTTTTAACACTCAACATTGTTTTGAAGACTTCAGTCTCTGGCAGGAGTATTTGAGAAATTACCTTTCAGTAGTTTGAATTTCCACAGATTCAACCAAAGTAAAGATGGTGAACTTTCATCTGTAAGCACTTTTTGTCCATCCAGATCAGAATTATGACATAGTAACCATAGGAGCACCAGCAGCTCACTGTCAAGGCTTTAAATCGGGGGGTCTACGGAAAAAGCTGCATAAATTTGAAGAGGCAAAGAAACAGTAAGTAGAAGAGTTATTATAAACTCATCACCTGCCTTTTCTTAATCTCCAGGCTTTGCAAAATCATCACATTCCATGTTTTTGTTGCACCTCCATTTGGAAGTTCTGCCAAATACTATGAAGATTATGCTATGCTTTTTTCAAAGAGGGAGAAAAGAAAAAACAGTTTTCCCATTGTTTTTTGTTTACTGATAGTTCCTTTTCAAATTACTTTTTGTGGAATATTTAATATTACAGGACAGTTGTTAAACTAGCTAAACTGAACAATTTAAGTGTTGAATTGGATTTAATTGAGTTTAAGTTCTGTCTAGTTGTGGAGGTAGAAAATATCATTGGAATCTCTTTAAGTATGTTACATTTGATACTTTCACTCCCTTTAGCTTGCTTCCTCGGCACATCTGGGAAGCATTTTCCAGATCAGTCAAAGTAAATTTTGTCTTGGGCTATATCCTTATTTGTGACTGTGGTTAACTGAAGAAATGAGATTAGCATTACTCTAATTTACCTTCTGAAGTCAGATAGAAATTGGTTAAAGTAATTTCTTAGACTCTATCTCTTACTAATTTCCTAAAACCACAACATGCTTAGACACCCATTCTACGCTGGAGTCGTCCACCTCTGGTCCTTCCCTAGAGCTTCAGAACTCTATGCAAAGACAGATCAGTTGACTTGTTCTACCCTTCCTAAGAGGCAGCAGCAGTTCCTCAAATGCAAGTTTCTTATTAACAACTTGGATTTAGTTATAGGGCCAGTTGCTCCCGGTTTCTCTATATTGCCCCAGGTATTTTGCTGCTGTGTAGTTACTAATTGTTCTCCATCCATATTAAAATAAAAATACTAGGCCAGAGTGTGCCCCCTAGATGCATGCCTAGAGAGGACCCTCTGTACACTGATCTCCCCCTTTCTAACCTGCAGGAGGGATAATTCACCTCTGTGGTACTATGCCCCCTGCTCCTGATCACACCGTGGCTTCTCGGGGAGGGGGGGGGGTTAGCCATTCACACTGCAGGCTGAGGCAGAAATTGAGAAGGCCAGGTGCACTGAAGGGGAAGGCACACACAGTTTCCCTTCAGGCTTCAAGGGGTATCTCTGCTCCACAGCAGGAAGCATGCCCTTGCAGCCAGGTGACAGACCTGTGCCAGTTCTGCTTGGGCTAGCACTTTAGAAATAGAGGTGTGGATGTTGCAGCATAGACAGTGGCACAGGCTAGCCACCTGAATAAAAGGACTTAGGGGGTGGGGCAGCTAGACCATGTCATTGCCAGTGCCCACACTGCTATTTTTAGCCTGCTTCCTTGAGTAGAACTAGCATGTGTCTTTTCTACCGAAGCTGGGAGGCACACTCTCAGCTGCAATGTAGACATACCCAAGGAGCTTACAAGAGAAAGATAATATGACTCTGGGCTGCATTATCTTTACTGTAGAACCCCGCTTTGGGGGCTACAGGAGCAGCTGCAGCCAAGGGGAGACTTTTGCAGCCTGCCTCGGGGTCAGAGCTGGTGGGAAGGCACAGAGAGAGGGGATGATCTGGACACCAACCTCAATTCAGTATTTTTGGAGGCTACTGAACTGTACCATCAGTGGCACTAATTTTGGTAATGGATAGGGCTACTAGCAGTGCCAGTTGAAACCTTAGAGTCAGACTAGTACATGTAATGGTACAGTATTGAGACCAGTACTAACAACTGCCTCCTATAATTGCATCTGACATACAAGATGTTCCAGGATGGGATTAGCAAAGACTATAAATCCAATAGGCTAGGCTGAACTTCTTGTTGTTGATACCAAAATCTGCCTTCAGAACTCAGAAGCATTCTATATCTGCCTACTTGGTTACTTATAGGGCCCTCATTACTGACTTATCTAAGCACCTAAACCACTGATGTCTTTTTTTCCATCAAATCTATTCAAAACCTCCATTTCCAGCCTGCATTTTTCTTCTGGGCCTTCACAAAGTTGCAGGTATTCTGATCCTATGTTGGAAAGTAACTTTCCTGTTGGCAATATCATTTGCTGGAAGGTAGCACAAATTACAGGCCCTTTCTCTGTTGGACCTAAGTTTCCTTATTCAGTCTGTTGGGTATCTCCTATTACAATATTAATTTAGAGTACTTTTGTCATGAGGCTTGAGACAATCTCCAAATCACATAAGTGAGCAGGGACAAACACTGTACCTACCAACATAATCTTAAAATATATTTGATCAGAAGCATAGAAAATCAAGTATGCTTATTGCATTTCATCCTCACCACTTAACCAGGCATCACTGTCTTGGAACATTTCTTACTCTGATAGTTTGGGGCCTTGCAAGCAGAATGAAAAATGAGATGTCCTGGAACTTGGAAAACCAAATTACATTGACTCAAAGGGGCTTGGCCTATACGTGTAATTCAGGCATCACATCATAAACCTAATGTATAAAATTAGAACCATAAAATAGTTCCTAAAAAAAGCACCAGGGTTTAATCTTTGGAGAAAAAAGCCAGAAGTATTGTGATAAATAAAATAAATCAGTAACACTTTGGTAAATGGAAAAAATACTGTATCTCAGGTGTAAAACTGGCTAGTCAATCTGCAGTGGCAGACTCAGTTTCTATAGCGAATGTTAGTTCTGTGGACTGTGTTATATAGGACAGGGTGGGCAAATTGTGGCCCAGGGGCCAGATCCGGCACATCAGGGCTTTGGATCTGGACCGCAGGATTGCCACCCCTGTGGCGCCGTGGGGCTAAGGCAGGCTCCCTGGCCCCGCACCGCTCCCAGAAGCAGCCGGCACCACGTCCCTGTGGCACCTGGGGAAGATGGGGGGGCAGAGAGCTCTGTGTGCTGCCCTTGCCTGCAGGCACTGCCCCCTGCAGCTCCCATTGGCCGGGAACGGGAAACAGCGGCCAATGGGAGTTTCAGGGGAGGTACCCACAGGTGAGGGCAGTGCGTGGAGTCCTCTGCACCCCCTTCTCCAGGGGCTGTAGGGACGTGGTGCCGGCCGCTTCCAGGAATGGTGCAGGGCCAGGGCAGGCAGGGAGCCTGTCTTAGTCCCGCTTCACGCCGCTGCCACCCCGGAGCCACTCAAGGTAAGCAGTGCCGGGCCAGCGCCTGCACCCCAAACCCCGCCTGCACCCCGACCCCCAGCCCTGAGCCCCCGCCGCACCCCTCCTGCACCCTAACCGCCTGCCCTGAGGCCCCTGCTGCACCCCTTCTGCACCCCAACCACCTGTCCTGAGGCCCCTCCTACACCCTGACCCCCTGCTGCACCCCTCCTGCACCTCAACCCCCTGCCCTGAGCCCCGGACCGCACCCCCTCCTGCACCCCAACCCCCTGCCCTGAGCCCCGGACCGCACTCCACACCCCCTCCTGTACCCCTGCCCTGAGCCCTCTTGTACACCCCGCAGCCCTCCTGCACCCAACCCCTTGCCCTGAGCCCCTTCCTGCACACCGCACCCCCTCCCACACCCTGCACTCCCTCCCTCACCCCAACCTCCTTGCCCCAGCCCTACATTTGTGGCCCTGCATGCAATTTCCCCACCCAGATGTGGCTCTTGGGCCAAAAAGTTTGCCCACCCCAAAGTAGGAGATAAGGCTAGATAATCATAATGGTCCCTGTATGAATCTCTGAATGTCATTAGGCCAAGAGAGTGTCAATAGCAAGATCCCATCATTTGGATGCCTTATCACATGTTATATTAAAATCTGTAGAGCATGTTTTGGTAACTAAATAAAATGTATTCAGAGTCTAATCTCTCCTTGTTTACATACAGCTCTCATTAGCATTTTTAGGGATGGTGTGCACTAAAGGGGAGAATAGAACCCACTATTAATAGATAGGAAATACAAGTAGTAGTCAGAAGTCCGTTTTGTGTGGTCATCTTTGCTGCTGTACAAACCAATATAGTAGAATTTAATTCCATCTTTTTCATTTTCAGTGTTATGTACAAATGACTTTTATTTTTTCCGTTTCTTGGCAAGAGTGTTCCTTTTACACTTACAGCACCCAGAGCAAATAAAACACATTTGCCTGTGATTCTGCAGTATATGTATATTTTGCTTACAAGTTTAATCATATGCACATGCCTTTTTGAAAATATTAAGCAATTTAAAATATTTTCCCAAACTTACTTTGCTTTGTTTTCTGCTTTCAGTATTTGCAAACAATCTGCTAATTTTATTTTGGTTTTGTTTTTTTTAGCAGTTATGAGGAATGTTGGTGAGTTTTCTGTTTCTGAGAGTTTGTGGAGAGAGGTGTTTTTTTTTTCTTTTGGAATGGGGCAAACATTGGTGTATTTTAAAGTGTGCAGATTTTTTTAATGTCGTGCATCATAACACCATTAATTATGCTTTAAATGCTTAGTAGAACATGATGTATGAATGAATTGGTCCTTCCAACTGCAACTTTTATTTTGTAATGAACAGCTAACTTCATACCTCTCTGATTTTTATGAAGTCAGGAGACTTTGTAAATTAGAATAATACAATGTGTTCATCTGTTCCTCTGTTACTTCCAAAGAAAAACAGATAACAGAGAGGCAGAGAGAAAGCTACACAAAACCGTTTTTGAACCTTTCACTTCTACTGGATAACACATAACTTTAAGCCTTTATGATGTTATAATGGGCCTGGTTTATATTTTTGAAATTTATCTCTGCACTTAAACACTTTTTCTTAACCCTTGTGCAGTTTTCCCCCCTTAATTTTATTCCTACTTTGTTTAGTGCTGTAGGAGAAAAAGTGAAAGGTTAATCAGTGGTTTGATGGTGAAGCAGTGCTTCTGCTTTGAGCTAAAGTACTTGGAGTTGATTTGCTGATTATTATGACTGTACTTCTTATGGCCTGATCTGAAGCCCATTGAAGTCAATAGAAAGACTCTCATTGTCTCCGGTGGGTTTTGGATCAGGCCCTGATCAGATTAGACCATGTATGTCTTCTGAAAGCACCACAGAATGCAAATTGTTTATTTATAACTTTACACATCTAGTGACGTGCAGCTTGTGTGTTCTTTTTAAAAAAATGTTAAGGATAAGGATCTATTAAGCATATAATATAGCTTACTTATGCAGAATGACAGCTGTTCATTTGAAAGAGTGATTGCAGTTTGGAAAATGAATACGTGTGAACTTCATGCCATAATAATTTCTTTCCTCTGATCATCCCAGGGAAATGTATTTATTTTTAAATAAGAGTATAATCTGAACATGCTGCATGGCCTTCCTGCCAAATACATCATCTTTCTGCATGTTAACCCTTCTGTAGTGGAAAGAAATTGCTCAGAGGAATTGTCAGCAGTAACATTGGACACCGTGGAGTAGGCTGAATCAGAATGCAGTAAAAGTCCTTAAAAAGGAGATCTATTTCATGTATGGATAGGAGTGTAGGGGATCAGATGTCCTTCTGTAGAAAGGTGTGTGACCAGAGGAACACAGAATGATGCCTGTTTCAGGGGTTATGTCTGCATTACATCCTTCAAACATGGTACTTATCCTTTTTAAAGGAGGTCAGACTGGATAATCATAATGGTCCATTCTGGCCTTAAAATCTATTTATCTATGAAAATGCCTTCAGATTGATTTCTGGGACAGTTGCTTTTTAAGTGTGCCCTATGAGAGGCTCCTGCATTATCTCATAAGCACTCTGTAAAAGTGACTATTACACTTGGGGGAATTCTGCACCAAAAAATTAAAAATTCTGCGCACAATATTTTAAAATTCTGCATATTTTATTTGTCAAAATAACACAATATAATCTCACCAGTTTCAATTATTTTGCTAATTTACTTCAAAATACCTGTCAGCAAGTATGTCTACAGACAACAAAAAAGATTCAGGAAATGTTTTTTGACAAATAGATTCCTTACTAGGCATATTAATACAGAACTCTGAGTAATAATTAATTTAAACTACAATACAGAACCGTATTTCCCGTACCCCTCAGAAGCAGTGCAAAGGCTTGGGGGAGTCAGGGTTAATGGAGGAGCTAAGGGAGAGGGAAGTAATTGCTGGGAAGGAGCTTGGGTGTGAACTTGGAGGGTTGTTGGGTATGGGTGGGAAAAGTATGGAACAGGTTTTTTGAGGGGACGGGGAGGGATTGTTAGGGAACTTCTTCCATGCAGACCTTGGCTGACCCCTAGCCTCTCCCATTCAGTCTGGCACATCTGCCCCTATCCCCATGCGTCCCTGCATCTCCTGTCCACATGTGTCCCTGCACCCCAACTCAGACACCCACTCCCCCATCTCCATGTGGCCCTGCACCCTCTCCCCCTCTCCTTATGTGTCTCTGGGCCCCCACTCAGCCATCCACCTTCCCTCATTTGGCCCTGTCCCCATGTGGCCCTGCACCTCCATTCCCATTCAGCTCCTGTCCCAATCCATCCTCCCGCACTAGCCCTTATGAGTCCTTGTCTGACTCCCCAGCAGCCCCGGGCTGTCTGTCTCCCCATATACTCTGTCTCCTGACCTGGCCCAACAGGCACTGTGAAGAAGGCACTGCAGGCTCTTTCTCTTCTCTGTCTGGCTGGGAGCAGCTGCTCTGTTCTATCACCACATCGCCCTCTGGTGGGCAAAACACGGAACTGCAGCAACTTTCTGGCAGAAGCTATTTTCTACACACACACACACACACACACACACACACACACACACACACACACA